GTTTTTTATTTTATTTCATACTCCCAGTTGACCAATTATTATTATTATTATTATTATTTTATTTTTTTTGCAAATGAAGTGCTTTGTTTTTTTTTTTTGTGTTCGGGCTTTCAAGAATATACTTTTTTGGATTTGGTTTTTGGACTTTTTTGAGTTACTCATCATATAAATAGTTCAGGTCGCATCTTCTAACTAATTTATGGGGAAGCATTTTATGAATTTGAGGTGGAGAGGGAAAGAATGATGTTTCTACGTTTATTTGTGTTTTTATACATCATTTTTACCTATAGGAAAAAAAAATAATTTCTCAATTTTTAATGGCTCTTTTACTTACTTTTTTTTTATTTGCCATGGTGAGGTGAGTTCTTTTTTGCTATAACTTGAAACTTATGCAAATTTACATTAATTTTCATTCTCATATTTGTGATCAACCAGTTTCAACAATTCACCAGTTTCAAAATCATATTTTTATATTTTACTACCCATAAATCTTTAGAAGAAACAGTTCCAACAATTGAACGTATACCTTTCGGAGGAAGCTTACTACAAAGCTATTATAAATCTCCAAAACTAAGTATTGATTCGGCACGATAAATGGAGAACATCAATAAAACATCTTACTAATATTTAAACTTATTAGGATACTTTTACATTTTGTCTAACATTTACTTCAAGAAATATATTTGATCAAGTTTATTATATTTAATAAGTAACACTAATAAAATATTTCTAAAATCTTCAAACATTTCTAAAACGTACCGGATTAAATACAATTTCTTTTTTTACCAAATACAAACGTTTTTATGATCATACTTATAAAACAGTTCTAAATTCTTCAAACATTTTTAAAATATATCGAGCCAAATGCGAATATGTTTTTTTAAATACAAACATTTCTAAGATCTATAGATATACTGGGCCAATGCGCGACCAGACATCACTAGTATATATATATATATATATATATATATATATATATATGAAAATTCTATGATGCAGTCATAAGTTTTTGACTAAACCATCTAATTTAAGTACAACCAATCAAATTTTGGAATATATTAAATACTGATGAGGTGAGATGTATTTTAGCAAATCCTTCATTTTATCAAGGTTTTTTTTTTTCACTACACCAAGATAAAAAGAAAAACAATTAGCAGATCATTGCTCTCATTTTCATCATTAATTATCAGTACCTCCTCGACCTTCTTCTCATCTGCCGATACCACTCTTTCTGCTTCAATTTGATGAGTTTCGTGTGAATTGATTTTAACTTTTTTTTTTTCAATGTAGTTTCTTATAGTACGATTTTGTTTATTGTAATCGATTTGAAGAGGTAAGTCGAACCAATAATCCGAATCTTTTTGACGAAGAACAGCCGGAAGCCAATCCAGTTTCAAAGGGTAGTGTTGATCCTGGGTCAAAGTAGGATTCCTCAATTTGTTTATAATACTATGTGTTTCGATCAAAAGTATGATGCGACTGTTGACATGCCCTTTGGCGCAATGGACGGTCCCAATTTTTTTTTAAAAAGAAAGAACGAAGAATTTGCAAATTGGGAAGCAGATCTTAATAGGCAAAAGAGGGATATATAACGCAGGGAAGAAGCTGCTGCAAGTACTGGTGTCCCCATTGACGATAGAAATTGGCGCACATTTTTCAAATAATCCTGCATGACATTGCAATTGAAATACATGTTCCAATAAATAATCCTTTATCTCGTGCCACGAGGACCGACTGTGCCATAAAATTTGGTTGGTTCTATTTGGCCTAGCTTCTTGATCCGCATTGGTTTTTGCATACAGGCAGCTATTGCTCCCCCGATCATTTTCAATGAGAGAAACTAACGGGCATTTTGACAGCAATTGATGTCTTTCTGACCATGTTTCAGTTGGGATTTTCTACCTCGTGGGATTCGACTTGTTTTGCCTGAAGTCACTTCTGAGCTTATGAGTGCTTCACGGAGTTTATACTTGACTGCAGCCATGGCGTGCATTGAAATCGTGCCTGAATGAAACAACATTCATATGATCAATAATCTGGAGCTAATGATTCCAACAACCCTTTCTTTTCCCACACAAATTAGTTCCATGCGAAGGCTCATTTCATCAAAAGCAAAAAGTATAAACTTATTGATGATCGAACGCATGTACCATCGAAGCAATTCGACCACTGAATTTGCTTATTTCTCTTAGTCTAGGATAATATTTCAGGACAAAGTGATTATTTAATAAGGATAGACATTATACTTGATAAAATCAAATATATAAATCATAAGTGTCTTTTGATGTTCTGCTTCTTGATAAAACACAGTTCTTCCATTCCCTTTTGCAGATGATTTGCTCTAGTTCTTCTGTTGCAATTCATATACTGAGAGAGAGAGAGAGAGAGAAAGAGAGAGTCCAGAAAATAATATGAAATGGCAAGGCTAGTTTGATCATCGCGGAATTACGCCCTCTCAAGAGTAATTCGAGGGGATAAAATTTATGATAACAAAAATGTGGTTTTTTAATTATCTAGTAGTGCATGTTAATAGGTGATTATTGGTTGTAGAGCAATTATTAGGTGTATCTGGGTGTATTTGGTTTTAGGAACACCTTCTCTTAAATCTAATAGTTACTTTGCTATTTATGCGAATTACAAAGGCAGCAAACTTTCTGCTACAACTCACTTGAGCAGGAGCCTAATTACTTACATCTGTCACTCTTTATAATGCTTTCTTTTTTATTTTTCAAGGTTTTGAACAGCCTTAATATAAAAACACCTCCGAATGCAGGCACAAAGAAAGAGAGAGTAAAAAATCAAAAAAAAAAAACCATCATCTACTCCAAGAAAGAATAAAAGAAAAAACCACTTCAAATAAATATCTCCAGTATATAGAATGTATACCAATGTTTCCACTAATTGAATTAAGCTGTAAACTCACTAATTGATGCTGGACATTATCATCCCATGATGCCATATCAACTACTCCACCGTGTAACTAAAACACACAATTTCAAATTGTGCCTGATTACAAAAGGCAAAGAACAAAAATCAAATAACAAAATACAGTACATGAAAGATTGCAAACTCCAAACACCAATATGTATTTTGTTATGAAATTATGAGTAATGACAAAGTTTACCGTATTACCTCAACGAATTATCAAAGCAATCAACCCGATGGAAAGTAGCTGCTTACCCAAACCAAATCGAAGCCGCAACCGCAAGGCTGATATGAATTTGCAGTGGTAGAGTTGGGGGGGAATAGAAAAGACAAAAAGTAATGCGACAAATATGTCCTCAATTCCCCTAATTTTATTGCAATTGATTCAACAAAAACCACTAAATATTGAAATACCATCAAACATTAGGTATTTAACTACATATAGCTACTAAAATCCACATTTAAAGCGCCATAATGAAACCACTCAAACTCTTCTTTTTCAATAACAACAATATAGCAATGTCAAATTCGAGATTGATGGTTATTAATTGTTGGGGATTTATCTGGAGGAAAAAATACAACATGGAGCTCAATAAGTAAGATAAAACCCATCTGAACTCAAAAGCTCTAGCAGATGGGTTCTGAGTACACCTTACTTATTAACTGATTCACATGTCATCATGCCTTCGATGTGGGATTCATAATCCTTGCCACATGACTCTCAACATTCTCCCCCGTCATGGGCAATCTCCACATCGGGCTTCCAAATTATCTTAACAAGCCCAAATCTGTACTCCACCTGAGTAACTGGGTCGCCCATTCCTACGCTACTGCTTGTAGTGGGTGCCCTTTAACTTCCTGGATTTAGTCAGATCAACCGAGATAAATTTGGGCTAAATCACCCACCCAATTGGCCCAATCTGGGCTCTGATACTACTGTTGGGGATTTATCTGGAGGAAAAAATTCGACATGGAACCCAATAAGTAAGATAAGATCCATATGGACTCTGATACTACTGTTGGGGATTTTTATCTGGAGGAAAAAATTCGACATGGAACCCAATAAGTAAGATAAGATCCATATGAACTCAAAAGTTCAAGCTGATGGGTTCTGAATCCACCTTACTTATTAACTGATTCACATGTCCTTATGCCTCCGATGTGAGATTCGTAATCCTTGGCACATAGACTCTCAACATTAATCAACATCAATGGAGTTCCAGAGTAAAGATAACAAAGAATAATGCATCGGATTCGGGAGAGAGACATTTCGTGCCGGAATCCTCTTCACATGGGGAATCATGGTCTTTGTTGTTGTCGTGTTGATCTCCGCCGCCTAGTAGTTGATCCAGCTCATCTTTCAGTTTCTGTATCCTTGATTCATACTCTGATTGTGATTTCAAATGCCATAGAAATAGAGCAAGCAGAGAAAGCCTGAGTTAAGGCTGCCAGCTCCGGGGCCACTGACTCTAATCAAAATCTCTAAACATTAATGATTCCCAAGGAAAAAAACACACACACACACACACAATGACGACGAACAGAGGAGACTCTGCCCCAGCAACCACTTCATCATCTCAGCCATCAATCAATCCAGGAAGAGGAAAACCATATCGAATGTTGCATGTGAGGTGATTTAGGCTTATTCTCGGAGCTTTTCCGATGCGAAATCTGCCATTTCCGATCTCAACACCAGTAAATCTTCGACCGACCCTTCTCATATTATGCAACAAAGCTTCCAATTTTACCATTTCAAAAGAAAGCTTATCGCTTAAAATTGTCTTATAATGAAATAGATTCAAATTTCAAAATAGCAATCCTAATTAATGTTTAATATAATTTCCTTTACTAAACATAGTTACAACTGATTACGTTAATTTGAAAATCTCGCTCATCCACAAAGAAAGGGTGGATTTGATCGACACATTTATCCCGCCAACTATACATATATTAGGAAACAATAATTTGATTTTTGCATAACTTCTTCAATTAAGGTTGCTGATTTATTAGATCATATATATATGTTATTGATGACAGTAAAAAGGGAATTATCCAAATTAACTGATACGATAAGAATGAAGTTCAAACTTAATAGGTATGCCATCAAATCAAATCTTCAAGATTGATTCCGTCCATTATCCTTCCTATCATGAACCTAAATGCCCTAATTTTCGGCATTTTCAAATCACAGAAGGCATGGTGATTCATCCGAACCCCCTAATTCTCACGGAACATAAACACTATCCCGGGGGTTCATTGATCCAAATTACAGCGGATATCGGAAATAAACTCCAACCGTTGAACGGTTGAAGAGCCCTGAACTTCACCGACGATGACAATACAGATTACCACAGAAAAACGGCGATGAAATGAAGACTGAAGATTAGGTGGCAGCGAAAGCAGCGACAGCGAACGCGCGGCTCCGATCACCATCTATATATATGGAGTTTATTGATGACTCAAATCCGATGAAACTGGAGCACGGTAGCTGCTATAGAAGGAGTGAAAAATGCGACCCACTGCACGGAGAATTTGCCAGGAATTCTGTGACTGAATCGGCATCGACCGGCGGTGACATAGTCGCCGGTTTATTTGGACGGTCACCGCGAAAGTTACCGTGCCAATACTTTTTTATTTTCATCACGTGAAGATAAGAGTAAATAATAAGTGTAAAGTAATAGTAAATAATAATAAATGTAAAAATTATTTTACCGGTTTTACCACACAAATTTACTGAGCGAGCCAATTGTATCCTAATTAAGCGACACGTGTCTCTGGATCAAAATTCCTTTCATATAGGGTCGAACTGTTGAACGCTCTTATTTTTTCATTTGAACGCCCGCGAAAGACCAAGACGCCCCTGCAAAATGGAGGTAAATATTTTTTTTTCGAAAAAGGGGAGGGGGGCAGGGAAGGAGGACCGCTCCAGCCGTTAAGGGCGCGCCACCCCTATGGGGGTGGCGTGCAATAAACTCGCCTCCCTTTACAGGGAGGCGAGACAGCCTTCACCAATGGCGAAGGCGGTGGCGCTAGATCTGGCACCACCTTTGTCCGGGTTGGCGAGCAAATGCTCGCCAACCACCCTATTGGTGGCACCCAAATGGGCACCACCCATTTTTTTTATTTTTTTTTATTTTTTTTTATTTTTTAATATATTTTATATTTATGAGTTTAATAATTATTATTATTAGTTTAATAAATTTAATTAATTCATGTATTTATTTTATTTGAGTATTTGTTTGGTAGTTTAATATTTGTTTAGAAAATTAGGGTTTATACTAATTAGGTTTATGATATTTAGAGAATATTTTTTAATTACGTATACTGTTATATTAACTGAGTTAATGGGTATAGCTGTTAGGGATTAGGATTTTTGTTAAAATAATGAGTTTTTATTAATAATATTTTTAATTTGTTATTAGTATATATTAATTATCTTTAAAGTATAAGATCATTGTATCGGATTATATAACAATGTTTACTCATAGCAAATTATTTGTGGTTTAACAATGTTAGAGTTAATTTAAGTTATTATATAATTTGTTTTTAATGTGTGCATGATAGGTTTGATCAGGGGGATGGAATCGATTATAGTCCGGCTTTTGCTACAGACGAGACTTTTGCGACGAAGAAGGAAGCTGCCGCATATGCGAAGGGTATTGCGAACTTCTACAATATGGAGTTAAGTGTATTCTCGCACAAGGATAATACTACTATACTCCTTTGTCATAAAGGAGGGCGGTACCAAGGTCAACAGGTGGGTGAAAACGTGCGTGCGCGAGCCAATACAAAGACACAGATGACCGGATGCCAGTTTCGTGTTACTATTTACAAGACATATGATAGGTGGGCGATCCGTGTATATCCAGGTCCGTTGGGAATGCACAACTATTCATTGAAAGATCCACCTCGAGTCAGGAGGCCATTGAGTGAAGAAGTAAAAGAGCTTATTAAGGAGTACTCCAAAGCTGGGACTAAGGCAGTCCACATTTTACGGGCGATATGGACACAATTTCCTGATGAAAAGGTAACCTCCAAACAAGTCTACAACTACAGAAATTTTTTGCGTAAGGCGGGGTTTCCAATTCTAGATGACCTGTCTGCCGTGGACATAGTGGGAAAGGTGTTAGAGGTCGCAGAACAACACAACTACATCATCTTCACAGAGTGCGATGAAGAGACACAGAGGTTATCCCACGTGTTTTTCGCACATCCGGATTCTTTGTTGCTGTTGCGGACGTATCCTTGGGTTGTTTGTGTAGATTCCACATACAACACAAATAAATATAAACTGCCTCTTGTGGAGTTTGTTGGAATGACCCCTTGCAATCAGACATTCCTTATAGCATATGCTATTCTGAGTGATGAGACGGGAGACAGCTACCATTGGGCGCTGTGGCAGCTCCGTAACTTGTATGGCGAAGATCTGCATCCGAGTGTCATCGTGACTGATCGGGAGCCTGGACTGATGAGGCCTCTTGATGATGTATTTCCATCCTCACATCACTTGTTGTGTACGTGGCATGTTTACAGGGATGTTGAAAGAAATGTGAAAAGAATTTTGAATGGAAATGCCCATGTAGCAAAAAGCTTCGCATATAATGCCTTCAAAGTAGTGATCAAAGCTGCAAATCGGGAAGTATACGAAGAAAAAGTACAGTTTCTGGAGCATAATTGGTCTCAATTTCAGCCCGTTCTAGAGTATGTTAAGAAGACATGGTTAGTGGTGGCGCACAAGTTTGTGCATGCATGGACCAACACTTATTTGCATTTTGGCAACACCACTACTTGTAGAGTGGAGAGCGCACACAAGTTGTTAAAGGAATGGCTCTGCATTCCAAATGCTTCTTTTGAAACGGTGTGGCACAGGGTTCACATGTTACTGGAGACACAGCTTACGCAAATAAGGTATTGGATTTTGATCCCCTTTTTAGTTAATTTGTGTATTTAGGTTGTTTAATTAATTTGTTAGAATTCCTCCATAGGGAGAAATTGCAAGAATCAAGGCAGAAAATAGGGAGGCAACACAACAAGTACCCTTTCTACCAATTAAGATGCAATGTTTCACACTACTCTTGGATCTATTGAACAATGAGTTGGAAAGGATGCAACAACTCGGAGATGATGTGTATTGGGAATGCAATCATTAACTGAAACAAACTCATTCCATCCCTTGTGTATGTATACTTAAGCGTATAATGGAGGCCAGGGAGATTTTGACTCCAAAATACTTACACCAATTTTGGAGCACACTTGACATCGGTGAGGTTACAGAGAAGGATGGTTCGGATGATGTTCCCCTCACAAATTGTTGTTCAGGCAGTTAGTGGAAGAATTGGACGCTGCTAAGGAGCCAATACAGCGCGAGATTACCAGATTGATGTACAACAAACTTCACCCAGGCCAAGCCGGATTAAATGAACCGCGGGTTGGAAAAAGAGGCAAGGGCAGGCCGAAGAAGAGGGGCATCTCTAAAAAAAGCAAAACAAACCAAATGTGTGGGCATACAGGGACGGCAATCAGGGGGGCACCAATACCAGCGGTTCCAGTAAAGCAGGTATGAGCCAAGGTACATCGAGTAAAGGTGGGACGAACGCCCACAGTTCCAGTAGAGGCCATACATCGGGAGCTGAAGATCAGAGCAGAGGTCCGATATTACTTTCTCTTTTTAAATGTGCGAAATATTATTTTACTTGGTTTACTGGAAGCACTTTTGTTACTGACCCATGCGAGAGCAGGTACATGGACTGGGCAAGGTGAGACGAACACCAGCAGTTCCAGTAGAGGCCACAGGTCGGGTTCCGAACCCCATGTCAGAGGTACGTTTATAATTTATTTTGTTCTTAAATACTGATATGTAATTCAGAAATAATGATATTATTTTACGTGGTTAAAGATGTGATGCAGATAGACTTTTTCCAGTTTAGGCACAAGAATAAGATTCCGCAGGTACTCCATAATCATGTTGTGTCATATCTTGATGTCGAGGCTGACGGCAATTGTGGTTTCCCCGTCTTTGCAAGTTGCATATTGGGAGGGCAGGATAATCAAATTTTGTGCAGACAGATATGTTATGATGAGGTTATAAATAACCCTGGCCTGTACGGGAACCTTTACGGGTATGAAGCCAGTTTAATTTTGGTGAGCGGTTTTCATACAGTTGCATCAATGTTATTTTATTTAAAACCTTCATTTACTTGTCTTTGTAGGTGGGAAAAATTACCTGCAAGTCTAGAGCGTATACGGTGGACTGGTACCTCCGCAGGTCACTGGATGTCAACAGAGGACTTTTATCCCCTTGCTACATATTTCAATGCTGTTGTGTACTACTTCAGAACCAACGGTGCTGAAAATCTAAATGGCACATGTTGGACTGTGCTACCACTGAGCGCACGGGGCGGGGCAACAAGGCCAGAGTTCCAGATAGTTATTTGCCACCTTGAGCCTTACCCGCACTTCATTCGACTCAATCTGCAGGGTGATTTTCCGATTCCCCCCATTCACCCCAGTTGGAGGCATGATCGTGATAGTAGTGTTATTGGTTGGGAAGAACCTTTTGAACCCAGACTGCAGCTATGGCGTACTTTGGTACCTCAGATAAGACCCACACGGGAATATTGTGATCTCGGATGATATGTTGTGTATATATATATATATATATATATATATTTTATGAAATTGGTGATATTTTAACGTAAATTAAAATTTAAATTGCAAATCGACATAAGTACATATTGTTCAGAATAACAGAATCGGTACATAATTGTTTAAAGGAAAAAGCACTGAGTAAAATGTCATGGGGCCTGACTGTGCCGGAAGATGACATCATCCAGGTGAGTATCCCACTCCTCACCAAGACCCAAATCGAGTTTCTTCAAATCGTCGATGCAACCTTGAGTCAACTTCTCCATCTCACGCATCCACTACAAATGTTAAATAAAACCATATTAATCCCTTAAAGATAGTACGTGTATTATTAAACAAAGGGTATTCCAGTTAGAGTTGAACTTACGTAAGTGGTGCAGTTCTTCCCTGGGATGCGTGATGTAGACGGTACGGACTCCGGCAGTAGAAATGGATGTGAATGGCTCCTGTACCAGTCGAGGTAATCTACAGCTGCCTGTCCTACCTCAGTGGACGATACCGGCACACAATGACTGAGGTTGATGCACTCCGAATCCAAAAATCTAACCCAACAGTTACATGTCTCGGCAATCGAATGATTAACTAAATACTTGTGCGCATTTTTCCCGCGAAACTGAGTTACCGGCGTGAGCGGCGCACGAGGTATGTACTGCACGTAACCGAGCTGGCGTATCACTCTCTCCGGCATGTATGGCTCCTGGAGGTCGTGGTACATAATCTACCCACTGAAGATGGTCCTCGGATATGCTGCCGCCTGTTCGCGACCAAATGGCTCCCATTCGACCTGCGAATGTTACCAACATTATTATAGTGTACACAATGAACTACCCCTTACGCAATACACAGAATTAAAATATAAAGTGTACCTCTTGCTCAGTCATCGCGTCGAGCTGCATACGAATCTGCTGGAGACGACTATGAATAGGCTTCGGGCCCTTATAGCTAACTGGTGTCCAGTCTCAGGCTCTGGGCCAACCATCAACACCTCGACGTCCTCGCCTCTTGGAGGGCTGGAAGCATGGAAAATACTCATATATCCATGCTTGGAGAAGGGTCATACAACCAGCCATCGTGGTACACCCTGCTCGACTAGCAATACCAAGCTGACGGTAGAGGAATGCTAGTGTACCGGATCCCCAGGAGTACTCTCCAATATTGTCGATACCTCCGTGCAGCTCATTCATAAGTGAAGCACTGATCCTGCCCCCACTCCTGTCAAGGAAGAGTGTCGAGGCTAAAAAGATCCACACCCAAGCTTGCACCTAAACAGCGGGGAGGACCCTGCGACAACACTCCTCAATCAATATGTCGCTCACACCTCCGTGGCTCCATGCACGCTTTAACTCAGCCAACGGCATCCCAAGCAATCCCGCGACCTGCATCTTCAAAACCTCAGCTTCCGCAGGTAGGGTCAACAAGTAACCATCAAGTGGAATCGCCAAAATGTGTGCCACATCATGCATCATAATGGTCATCTCCCCAAACGGAAAGTGGAAAGAGTTTGTGTCGGGCTGCCACCTCTCTTTGAATGCAGAAATAAGCGCAAGGTCAATATCATCATACATGGTATCAATCAGATGATACAAACCGGTATTCTGAATTTGCAACTGTGCGTTCTCCGGCAACCTCGCATACAATCCATGCAATCTAGACAAACTCTTCTTCGCTGGCTTCATCGTCAGGTAATCTCTTGGTTCTCCATTCTACAACTGATAAGCAGTGTGGCCAAGAAAACTAGGAATCACTGACCCATCACATGGCCCGCCAGGTACGTCGTCTGTCACAACCCAATCATCAGTTTCTTCGGTAGAAACCTTAGACCGTCTGCTAGTACCTGCAACCTGAATAAAGAATAGTGTATAAATACTTAATCAAATGCAATTAAAAAATTGACCAAGCAGTAATGAATGCTGAAATTGTTACAAATACGTACCTAATGACGATGCAGCTGCCTCAGGACGGATAGAGGCACCAATGGATGCGCCACCAATACGGGAACGAGGCTGAGTAGTCAGAGGGGGACCTCTAAAAAGAGTACTCTGCGGGCCTACATGCTGAAGAGTAGTACTCTGACCTCTAAAAAGAGTACTCTGCGCCCCTGCATGCTGAAGAGTAGTACTCTAACCTCTAAAAAGAGTACTCTGTGGGCCGACACGAACACTGGAACCACCAGGAGTGTAAGCTGAATTCAGGGCTGATAATCCCACAAGGGACTCCCCCCCCCCTCCCCCGGGTAGGGTGAACTGGAGTCTGATCAACAGTACGACCAATGGGGTTCAGTACTGAGTTATCTGCAATATGTATATCCCTCTTCTCATGCAAGGAATACTCAGATGTGTCATCCTCCTCATCCACATCGTCCCCCCACTCTCAAAAATATCCTCTGCTGATTCCTCTCCCTCAAAATCATCATCATCATTATCATCGTCTACGTTGGCTGACTCACCAAGTGGGCCAAACGTAGGATGTACATTTTTCACTTTCTTTAACTTTTTTTCTTTTTCTGCTCGATGTTAGGCATACAGATTGCGCGTAACTGCATGCCGATGTCCAGATCCCTCAAGAGGCGATATCCCATCCTACAAAAGTTTCAAATTTTACATGTAACTTAGATTAATTAGTTTAATACAGTTTTATATTATTTAAATACGTAATTATAAAATTATCTTTTCTATACATCTTAAGTGTACAATTTATTAAATCTACTAAGTACAATTAATAATATCTACATATTTATTTTTTCATTTTTTAACCAAAATTAAATAAATATATAATTTATTATTTAATTTTAACCACAATTAAATAAATATTTTTTATTAACCCTAATTATCTACTAACCTCCTATATTTTTTAAATTTGAACTTATTTATTTAATTTTCCTATACTAAGTATTTAATTTCTACGTTTGATATTTTTTTTAGGCTAATTACAATTAAACCGACTAATCCAATAAATATATTTTCTATAATTATATTTATAATAACTTTCATAATGATCCAATTTAATTTAAAAACCGTTAAACTCCCTAAAACTACAAAGTATTATAACTAAATAAATTAAACTAATAAAAATAACTAATAAATTTAACTAATAATAAATAATTGAACTAAATTTCATAAGACCTACAATTACTAATAGTAACAATTAAATTACAATGACTATACAATTTATAAATAGCAATTAAATTTAAATATATAATATAACAAATTAACAAAAAACACCAAAAAAAAAAAAACGGCCGGCGCCGGTTTTTCTCGCCAAGCGCAACCCGCCTGGCGAGACTTTTCTTCACCACCCCAGCGTCCGGCGGCGAAGAAAATTACGCCACCACCGCCCCGGCCGCGAAAGAGAACCGCGCCGGGGCGTGCAGAGCTGGCGCGCAGATCCGCGCCAGCTCTGTAAGGTGTGGCGCAGATTTCTGCGCCACTCCTTCATGCCCCGGCGCGGTTCTTCCTTGCCGGCCGGAGCGGTGGTGTTTTTTTTTTTTTTTTTTATAAATACTCCTACTAATTCAAATTCAAAAAAACAATCCCATTTTACATACCTTCAGTTTCCGTACCTCTTTACGTAGCCGTTTCATTCGATCAGCCATTGAATCTAAGTTTTTAGGAGTTTGGATTGAGAGAATTTGAAATGAAAGATTGATTTAGGAATTGAAAGAATAAAATTGAAACTCTTAATTTATAAAATCATGTAAGGGCAAAATGGTCATTTGGTATTTAATTAGGATGCTCAGGGAAAATTTTTAGGGCATTTAGTAGCCTCCCAGTTCATATATCTTAGAGATTTGAAAATTTTAAATTATAATAATATTAATTAATACCACTTAATTTTCATCCTACTTTTTCTAACTCATTTTTTACAGATGGTTTATTTTTTGTATTTTACTTTACAATCAACAATTAATTGAGCACATGATGTTCTTTTGCAACTAAGAATCGACTTAATAATATATTTTTCTTGGATAGATGAAAGGGATCTTGCAATCACCTCACAGAAAAACCAAATTGGTGAAAAGTAGGGATTTGTAATTCTTCAGAATTCAACAATAATTGGAGGCGGCATGCATAGTCCATTCCACAATGAATAATTGAATATGCTGATTGTAAAGCATTAGTTTTGATAAGGTAGATAAAATCATAGGTCCTATAAAAACCAAGAGAGAGAAGGTTCTATTCTTTTCAATTATTTTTTTGCTAATTAATTTTGCATTCACTTATGCAATTTTTTCAGTACAAATGTGAGCCTGCTTATAGGCAAATGACTAAATGAGGGAGGAAATGAAATGGCCATCATTTTTGACATTTAAGTAGCCGTATTAAATGCAAATATGGACTTTTTTTTTTTCTTAGACGAAATATGGACTCCAATTGTAGTGATTAATATTGTTATCTATCCAATATTATTCATGACATTATTTCTTCTGACCTTTTTTTTTTTTTTCAATTTGACATTTTCCATCATCTCAATAATTCACTAAGGGTAAACACCGGGCACTCAATGTGACTAATATAAGCAGAATCTGCTCTTCTAAACTCAAGGACTAAAATAACTGAAATAGGGTCTTCTCTGCACTGAGTGTGGTCGAGTACTTAAAATCTGCAAACATTATTTTCATCAATGGATACTAATGTTAGCCCGCTATGAATCTTATTGGCCTCTCACTTCCCGTTGAAAACGTCCAATAACTTGCTTCCAAACACTTAGAAGCCCTCCCAAACCGATACATTCGACCTGAAACTGAAACTGATGAAGTCGCAGTTAACGAATCATCACCAATTCCAGTTATTGATAGAGCAAACTTGAAGCTGGAAACATTGGATATGAAACTGAAATGTTAAAACTTCACCAGGCTTGCAAGGACTGGGGGTTCTTCCAGTTAACCGAGACAGATCTTTTTTTTTTTTTTGGAAGTCTATATTTTGTTCATTTAGTGTTTGTATGATGGAGTTAAGGATCTATACTCATTCATGATTGAATTCTTGAGACAGTTGATTAATCATGGAGCAACGACAGAAATCGAAACTATGAAGGTGGCTGTTCAGGGGTTCTTTAAGCTGCCATTAGAAGAGAAGATGGTGTATGAACAACTTCCAGGTGGACTTGAAGGATATGGTCACGCATTTGTTCTGTCGGATGATCAAAAGCTCGACTGGAATGACATTCTCGCTATTTACGCTCAGCCAATCTCTGAGAGGAATATGAAATTCTGGCCGAACAATCCTACATCCTTCAGGTTTATCTATCCACACACTTTGGCTTTTTTTGTTCTTTAAAAAAAGCAATATTAAGAGTTCATACAATTTATCTATACAGTTTACAAGATCGAATAATATAACTAACCGTGACATATCAGATCAACCTTGGAGAACTACTCGCGCGAGTTGCATAGAATATGTATCATCCTTTGTGAATTGATGGCTAGAAATCTTGGGGTGGATTTTAAAGAATTTTCGGGCATGTATAAGGAAATAGCACAGACGATAACAATGAATTATTACCCACCTTGCTCCCAACCTGACAAGGTTATAGGTATCTCTCCACATACGGATGGAAATCTGTTAACCTGATTGGTTCAAGTTGGTGAAGTGGAAGGTCTCCAAATCAAGAAAAATGGTAAATGGGTACCTGTTAAACCTCTTCCTGAAGCCATCATTGTCAATACTGGTGATGCTTTGGAGGTATTCACCAATTCCACGCTTCATTTGCAAATTTTTCCATCTGGATCTCTTTCTTCATCCGCGCTAAACAAATATCTAATATTGCAGACAATGAGCAATGGGGAGTATGCAACCATTGAGCACAGAGCAGGGTGAATTCGGAGAAGGAAAGGATATCCATTGCTGCATTTCACAATCCAAGTGGAGCAGCAAACATCAGTCCCTTGCCGGACCTTGTGAAAGAAAATGGAGCCAAATACAAGACAGTCAAGTATGAGGACTATGTGAAACAGTATCTTAGCAGCAGACTAAGCGGCAAAAGCCTGCTTGATGATGTGAAAATACACAACTGAAATGAAAACTCAGAAGCGTTATGGCGGTTATATACAGAAGTAACTTATCTAAAGAAAGTCGTGCCACAAGTAGGTTAACTTTGCAAAACCTTTCAAACGAATTGTCATAAATATTTTTTTTACATGAATTTCAGTTCTTAATTAAACACTTCAAGTAGTGGAATTGGGTATGCTTGTAGGATCATGTTTATTGTATTGGTTAATACATTAGTTTTACTTAGTCTTTAGACTTGGTCTAAGAAGATTTTATTCTATTTGATTTTAGGAAATGTAAGTTTTAGATTCTAAGTCACGACATTTTCAACTTTTGTTTGAATTATCAATTTTTAAAGAGTAATGATTGTTGCAGAGAGAATTTCCAAACAAAATATACAAGAAATTAATCATAACCATCTCTATTTAAAATTTATCTTTATGAGTTTATCTATTGAAAGGTAAAAGATAGTTAATATTTAGCCACATCATTCCAAAATAATTTTTTCTTATATAGACTACTCTTTTTTAAAATTTTATCTTCGTAACCTTTGGCTCTGTATATAGACCTACACTTGATGAATGAAAAATATACGTCATTTCCATTTGTTGGGCTAGTTTTCTGCTTTTCAGATGGGATTGATGAGTCTGGCTATATTGGTTTAATAGGCAATGGGCGCGGCAATGGACTAGGGTTGTCACATACAGGGGTGATTTGGGAAATAATTGAAAATATGGGACTCAATTGAAAGACGGCTGAAACACAGATTTAGTCAAAGATTAGTCATGATTAGTCAATGATTAGAAGTCAATGATTGAGTTGTAATAAATAGACTGAATGGTGTAATTTTGGGGTATCGATCAAGTAATGAAATTCAGTTTAATCTCTTCTCTCTATAATATTCTTTCTCACTTTCTCTCTCTATTTCTTGATTCTCGATTCTGATTCCGTTTCCGATTCCGGTGACGGCGGATCATTTCCGGTGGCTGACAATTTGGTATCAGACCTGGTCCCCACCCTTCGTGCTGGCTCACAGAAAGGGCTACCTAGAAGAAGGGCTACCCGGAATCACGCAGAGTGTGAGCCGCCGGAGGAAAGGGCTACCTGTGCCGGAGTGAAGCTGTCTAGAGTGCAGCCGCCGAGACGTCAGAACGGAAGCGTGGTGGTATGTAATGATAGTTGCTTGAATCCCACATTGGTGGCGGATGACACCGATGTGCGGTTTATATGTCCTTGGGTTCTTTCCTCTTACAAGCTAGCTTTTGAGGTGAGTCCCCCCCTAGAGGCATGACAAGTATGTAATGATAGTTGCTTGAATCCCACATTGGTGGCGGATGATACTGATATGCTTATATTTTACCTATTTATTATATCCCTAATTTGTGATTTTTGCAATATATTTTGAGTACAAATATGTTATTTATGTGATTTTATCTTTAATTGTAGGAATTGTACTCAAATGACGAATTGTTGAAGTTTTGAGCTAAAATCGAATTAAAAGCAACTCAATGGGAATGAATTGAATATTGGAGCAATTGATGGGGAAGAAATTAATGAGTTTAGAGAATTGGAGGGCCAATCATGCAATTTTGCAATTTGATTCTAATTTTTGGAAAATTGGCCGAAGGTTACGTTGGTTATGCGGCCGATTTGGGATTGGAATTGGATAAGAATTTTAATCCCGATATTAATTAGGAAACAAGTTTTCTTGTTCTTCAAGGAGTAGGGTTTAGCCGGAAGCCTATAAAAGGGGGATTAGAGATTTATTTTTACAAGAGAACTGAACCGAAACTTGACCGAAAACCACCGAACCCTACGGTTAAAACCTCCATCACCGCCGGCCACCACCTTGACCTCCCCCGCTGCAACTCTCCTCCACCTCTCCACCTTCTCCTCGTCTCCACTCCCACCACATCACCGAGAAAGCCAGCAGCGGCATCAACAAACTCCTTCACCGGCAGCAACACCTCCCTCGCACAGCACCACCGAACTCCCTTCTCCATCATCCTCCACGCAGCACTTCTTCTCCATCCAGCTCCACGCCACCGAAACCCACCAGAGCTCCTCTCGTCTTCCTGCTGCAGCTCGCCACCACCGAAGCACCTTCCTCCATCATTAATCACCGGCGCGCCACGCAGCAGCGGTGAAGCGAGCAACCGGCGGGGAGTTTGGCGGGATTTTTGGCTTCATTCGGTTTTCAAGTTTTAATTTATTTAATTTATTTTTTTTTTATTATGTCTCTAAATATTATTGAATTAATTTTAATAATGTTTAGTGGCTAAATTCTTTTAATCTAGGGCTTGGGTGTAGCCACCGAATTTATTTGGTTTATTTGGTTTATTTTTATTTGATTTTTCCATTAATTAATATTTGTTATTCTTGTTTTAATTGTAAGTAATTGGCCACTATTTGCATGTCCGAAGATACTAATTGAAGTAGCGAGAGTGGAAGATTAGTATTAGTTCGTAGGAATAATAAACTTAGGTTGTAAGCTACGAGAGTAAGATTATAACCTTTGCAATATTTGATTCTTAATGGTCTTAATGTGCTTTTGTAAATTCCTATAGTCACGAGAGTAGTCATAGGGTTAATCTAAGTAAGAGAATTATAACACGAGAGTGTATAGTTCTTAATTAGGTGAATCGTTGTGAGATTAATGGAAGATAAAAGTCAGATAGTTATGAATTGAATTAACCCAAATATTCGGTAGGTGAACCCAATGTCCTAGGTTTTCTTTGTCTGATTATTTGAATTAATATTATCTACTTTTATTTTATTTATTTATTTTAGGTTTAAATTTTATAAATCTGAGATCATCATTTATCTAGATAATAATAGGAGTAATTTATACCTGGTAATTAGTATTCCTTCTCTGTGGATCGACCGCTTTCGCTTTACTACTAGTAATTGTATTAAGTAGGTAATTATTATTTGACTAGTGTGACGACGGCTTGTCAAATTTGGCGCCGTTGCCGGGGAAGGCAGCTAATATCGAATTTAGATTACTTTCTTTTATTAGTTTAGATTTGTTTTTATTTTATTTTATTTTATTGTCTTACTATTTTAGTGATTTCTTTTAAATATTTTTGTCTTGTTTTTATATGCGAAGTGCTAATTCTGAGACTTTGCAATTTGATCCAGAGATAGAAAGAACAGCTCGTGCGAATAGAAAAGAAGCAAAACTTAGAAAAGAGAAGAATCGAGTGAAACCATGGGCGACGAGTAAACACTCGGACACCGAGGATTACTTTACACCTACGGAGAATGTTGCTAGGTCAAGTATTACTAGGCCTACCATTGCTGCGAATACCTTTGAGCTCAAGCCAGCATTGATCCAGATGGTGCAGCAGAATCAATTCTCCGGTTTTAACAATGAGGATCCGAATGCGCATATTGATAACTTTTGGAGATCGTGATCTGTTAAGATAAATGGTGTAACGTCGATGCAATCCGGCTGAGACTTTTCCTTTTTCATTGAGGGAGAAGCGAAGAATTGGTTGAATACTTGTGATCCCGGTTCCATCACAACTTGGGATGAGCTGTACAAAGAATTCCTGATCAATTTCTTCCCACCACATAAGGCAGCGAAATTGAGAAATCAAATTACTGGGTTTATTCAAGAAGATGATGAGACATTTCATGCTGCATGGACAAGATTCAAAGAATTGCAAAGAAGATATCCTCACCATGGTATTGAGAAAAGTACTCTAGTTCAGACTTTCTATCAAGGATTGACGGACTTTGCAAGAAACAATGTGGATGCTGCAGCTGGAGGTTCATTAATGGATAAATCAATTGATGATGCCTACGAATTGTTTCAAATTATGGCAAAGAATAGGAATCAATGGTCGAACTCGAGAAGTGTTTCCAAGAAGCCTGCTGGAATGTATGAAGTCAATGAACTAAGTGCCATGAACGCAAAGATAGATGCACTGACCAAGGCGATGGGTAATCTTGTAGATGCTAATGCAGTCTTCCATGCCACTGTCTGTGAGTTCTGTGGAGGTCCTCATTTGAGCTCTGAATGTAGGCAAGTGGCAAGTGCACAATATGTCTCTAATTTCAGCAAGCCTCAGCAGCAGAACAATCCTTACTCCAATACTTACAATCCTGGGTGGCGAAATCATCCAAACTTTTCTTGGAATAATCAAGGGGCTCAAGACTTTAATGCAAGACCTCAAAACCCTCCTGGTTTCCAAGCAAAGTCATACCAATCCGCGCCTAAGACAGCTACGGAGGAAAGTTTGGAGAGAATGGAGAAATTGTTGAGTGAAAACACTGAACGGTTTAACAGAATAGAATCAAGGTTAGATCAATTGACTACTGCTCATAGAACCTTAGAGATGCAAGTGAGTCAAATGGCCTCCACCATGAATACTCGTGGGCAAGGTCAACTGCCAAGCAAGTCTGAAATTAACCCTCGTGAAAATTGTAGTGCTATCATGTTGAGAAGTGGGAAGCAGTTGGGTGACAAGGAGGAACCAAAGACCACTGAAGTGAATGAGACCACTGATGAGAAGAAAGTAGAGAGTAAGCAGATTAATGAAGAAAAAGTGGAGAAAGTGGAACAAGAAGAAGAAAAGATATATGTGCCACCACCGCTTAAACCTTATGTTCCACCAGTGCCTTTTCCGCAGAGACTCCATATGACTAAGCAAGATAGGTTGTTTGAGAAATTTTTGAAAATTTTTAGGCAATTACATATTAACATTCCTTTTGCAGATGCTTTAGCTCAGATTCCGGCTTATGGGAAGTTCTTGAAGGAGATCATTTCCAACCGAAGAAAAGTTAAAGACTTTGAGACGATTGCACTATCTGAGGAGTGTAGTGCTGTCATTCAGAGAAAGATGCCTCCAAAATTGAGTGATCCAGGGAGTTTCTCTATTCCTATCTCTATGGGTAAT